CTTTTTAGCACTCTCAGGAAACGCATATGATAAGTAAAATTGCCTCACGTTTCGCGACCTATTTGGCACGTACAGAAAACGCACATGACAAGCAAGATTGACTTCAAGTCCCGCACTCTGTTGAGCACGCACGAAACGCATATGTCAAGCAAGATTGTTTCGCACTCTGTTAGGTACTCACAGAAACGCACATGTCGAGTGAGATTACCTACAACACTCGTACTTTATTCGGCACGCACAAAACGCACTTGTCAAGTGAGATTGACTGCAAGTATTGTGCACTATTCGGCACGCACACAAAACGCACATATTAAGTAAGAAAGTCTCCAATAGGTTTTTTTTCGGGATCCGAGATTGGACTTATTTAAATGCCGGGATCCGGGAATTTAAAGTAAGATTTTGAGGAGCGGGATTCAGGAAATAATCACTTAAAAAAACCAAGAACCGAAATGTCCGTTGACGAGAATTTATGAAGAAATCTATATTCTCAGTCCGTGAAAAGGACCAGGCGAACAGGCGGCGGTCGGACTGTCATTACGCGGGAATGAAAATTATATTTAAAGCGAAGTTACCAATTTACCAAAAATCCTCAATGGTCCACAGGGAAACGAGGCATATCAGACTGCTGCGTCAGTTGAAATGATTAACGGCCTTGAAAAACTTCCGGCAAGTCTAAGAATTATATATAAATGACGCTCTTAACCTGTTGAGTGACACTGGACGTGAAGAATATTCAGTTTATCTTTTGCATCACAAAGATAAACTACTCACGGTGTTAGATTTTTTCAGTAGGAACGTTGGTAAACAGCGATTCTACGTCGAAAGATACCATGATCTCGTTGTCTAGGATCGTCTCATTGCTAACGGTGGATACGAAGTGGGCTGGATTAGTCACCGTGTACTCTGACTTTCCTGTTAAAGGAGACAAGATGTTGGCTAAGTAGAATCGCTGTTTACCAACGCTTCTATCGACGCCGCTGCACAAGCCGCACTACACGCGCAGGGTCAAAGAGGCAATTTATATAAGACTTCACCCAAACAACATCAACGGGGATAGTGGAATAGAAATTCCAGAGGCGTGGATGCCCACGATAAAAAAAACACAACAACAGGAGATCCGTGCGACAGCGGACCACCGAGGGAGCAAATATCTGCGTGAAACAGCTAGAATCGAAATGCACCAATCAAAGCTGTTGAAAAATAACTAGTCACAGCAGAGCAGCATGCTTTATAAGATCACGCATGACCAGTCGACCTCATCGCCTGAAGAAGACTAGCAGTATGCAGTCGGAAAGTCGCAAATTACATTACACGTGACTACATCGCGAGACAAGCGGAAAACTTCGCTTTTAATCTGTTACTGTTGTGTTACTGTTGTTCGTCAGCTTACCTGACTGCTGCGGATAATGAAGCTTGCCTTACCTGACATAAAGTTACACGTTTTGAGGTTAAAGTTCAAATGATTGAGCTCATATATCGTCTCCTATTTTGTTTGAGAGAGGAGTTTTGATATCTTTATATGGGGACATAGCAAAGGATTTTGCAACTTGATCACTAAGTTATGAATGGTTCTGTCTCACAATTTATAATTTATAATCACACACTACCACTGCTATGTGATTACATCGTGGTGGTGGTAGGTATTACGCACTCAGTTTACCTTCACTTTATTCTTACCACTTTCACAACCTGGCATTCTTAAAGTTCTGCCGTCACTGGAATAATTCAGGAACTGGAAAATATTATTAACCCAAAACCCATTACATTTTTGAAATGAGAGTAAGTAATTACAGTCAACTAAAGAAATGAGTATTGTCTTGAGAAGAATACTCACAAATAAATGGCCAATCGTAACTTAGCCAGACGGATTTCAACTCAATTGTTGTACGCAGTCACTGGGTGCTTTGATATTCCTGCCGCAGTCTATCTTTTGGTCAAAAGTAACTCTTGATGATTGTTGAAAATTGAAACTTAAGGATGACGCAGTTCGAAAAAGCCGTATCTTGCGTGACAAATACTGAGTAACCAAATGGTTCCGATTGCCTGATCAGTTATAATTTATGCGTCTCACTCATTTCAGCACGGTGCTTGATTTGGCATTTTACGGGGCAGGGGTAATTTCCCTTCATGAAATGAAAATGGAGATGAAACTCGTGAGTTGGGATTTCATACAAGCAATATTCC